CTCTCGCCGACGCAGGTAATAACCCAACCATACCCTTTCACTCTCTTCGACTTGGTCATTGGATTTCGCATCTGCTTCCCTCTTTGTCCCCTCCCCCCCTCCTTCCCCCAAAATCAAAACCCTCAAGTCCGCCCTGATCCCGACCCCAACCCCAACGACCACTCCACCACGACATGAACCCCACCGTCTTGAATCAGGTGGGTTTTTTCCTTCTTCTTCTAATGTTCTTGTTATTTTTTCCAGCATTTGTGATGTTGATGTTTTAGGCGATTACTTTCCAGGTTTTGCTCCATTTTGTTTGTTGTTTGTGAAAGTGAGTAGATTTGAAGTATTGTGAAAGTGAGTAGATTTATTCTCATCTCGCTAGTGTGACTGCAGATGAACAAGAATGTTGAATGATCGAAAAGATGGCAAAATCAGTTCGAAGTTTAACTACTCTTGTTGAAGTCATGAATGTTTTCAGAATGTTGAATGCTTGAAAAGAAGGTAAGTTATTTTGTTTCTTCGCAAATAATCTCTCTCACGAACACACAGGTTTTAATCCTTGTAACAATAATATGAGGGAATTCCTCAGCTTGAAAACGTTAACCAATCTTATGTTTGGTAGTTAAACTTCTTCTTCTTCTTCTTTTAATTTTATGAGGGAATTCTTCAGCTAGTACATTGTTTTTGGATGGCTTCACTTGATCAGTCTGTAATAGACAACCGTTGCGATTTGGGTGCAGTGGGATGTTAGAAAAGCTGCAGAGGATAATCGTTGTTTTTGAATAATCTTATGATTGGTAGTGTCACTATCAATTCTCATTCGCACTCATTTTTAATGTTATGTTACTAGCGCCCTGTTGATATTATTGTGAATAATCGTTGTTTTGTGCATGTATCAGCTTCTCGGTTATAGTTGAGATTGTAATTAGATTGTTTGCTTGATGTTAGTCCTTAATAAGGCTCAAATTTCTTTTATTTTTATCTTGGCACATATCATAATTCATAATTGTGCATCATTCTGTTTGTTTAGCATGACTGCCTTGTTAAACACTTGTATCTGTAGCCTTGGATCATGGAGTCATCTTCAAGCAATCGTCGTGGACTGTTGTGCCATTGTGGAAGGAGGGCTATACTCTCCAGTGTTGGACCCTAGAGGGGTGGGGGGTGGGGGTGATTAGGGTCTTATGCTAATTTAATCCCAATTAAAAGCTAATTAAAATTATGTTGATCAATTTGATCTTGCAAGAAGAAATATGATATGGAATTATGTTGATCAATTTGATCTTGCAAGAAGAAATATGATATGGATATGAACAATTATGATGAATAAAAATACGCTAAGCAAAACACAAACACACGATATGTTTACGAGGTTCGGCCACCACGACCTACGTCCCCGCTCCTCACCTCGAGGAGATATCCACTATCACAATCCGGTTTGGAAGCCGGAACTTCTACACACTCGGTTTACAAGATCACCGAAAACTCTCACACTACACAAACACTATGCAATCACACTTTACACACTAAGTGTAGGAACCTACCCCGTGTCCTCCTCCTCAAGTGCTCGATTACAACCTCTCCCTAGGTTCGTCAATCGACGCCACTCCTATTGGATTTGACCCCGTGTCTCGCCTCACACTTCTCTCGGTGTACAAGTGTATTACAAGTGATTCTCACAAATAAAAGTTAAATACAATGATTTGTTCTCAAATAACAAGTGAGAACACAATGAAGCTCACACTCACTAAATCCCACACCACAACCCACAATATAATATGAGAATATAAAGCTCAATAAGTGTGTGTGATAATAGTGAATGAAACTCAATAAATATAACTCAATGAATATAGCTTAATCAATTGAAAGTGAAATAACAAGCTATATAAGAATGGGTTTAGAATTAGTTGTAGAGAGGAAGAGCAGCAATGAGATATATATAGCACCCCAAAACAACAGTAAAAAATAGGTAAAAGACCAAAAACCTAGTTTGAAAACGGTTAGAAAAACTAGCCGTTAGAAAGGTTCTGACAGCTCGTCGGTCGACCGGTTCGGTTGACCGCTAAGTTCAAAAACACCGACAATGAGGGTTTAAAGCCGGCGGTCGACCGACGGAAATTTCGGTCGACCAAAAAAGTCTCTGGAGGTCAATCGGTCGACCGGTACGGTCGACCGCGAGCAGCTCAGGAAAAATGTAACTGTCGGTCGACAGAAAACTAATATGCTGCATATGATAGGTTTTAGGGGCTGTTTTGAAAATTCATTAAAAATATCAAATCAACTCTAAAAATAGTGAAACTTTAGGGAAAGTTTCTAAATGATAAAATAAACATGTTTGAAAAGGAATTTTTAGAATTTTTGAAAAATCAATTTTCGTTTGTGAAAACTCCCTGTTTTTGAAAAGTGTTCAGAAAACCTGTTTTTTGTAAACATGAAAATCGACATAGAGCTTGTAAACATGTATATATATATTGTGCATATATTATATGTATATAATGAAGTATGAAAGAGCTGTAAACATGAGATAAAGGTTATTGTAATAACGTTTGATGAAAAATCATTTATATGATAGAAAACGTCAAAAATCGTGTTAAGTGTACATATATTGAGCTTAGATATAATCATACAATATATGTAAGTAAACCAAACATATACCTAGGTAAATCCACACGAATGAACTTGAATCTTTAACGCTTGATTGACGTGTGTTGAAATACCTGAAAAGAGAACATAAACACAAAACACTAGAGAACTTATTAGTAATAAATTGTTTGCCAAATCATCATCAAAACTATAGAGCCAACATCCAGATCCGGAACTAAGATGAACCCTGGTCGATTGTTTTTGGGATGCGCTAATTTGAGAGTGAGTAATTGTGGATTCTTCAAATGGGTGTCTGATGAAGAGGAGTCTGAAGGTTCAAAGGCAGGGCTTGTTCAGACGAAGCAGTCGAGCGTGACGCCGCAAGTTTCAAGAGTTGTGTCAAGTGGAGAAGTGCGGGAAAAGAGAAAGATTGAGATTGATATTATGGATTTGTTGAAGCTTGTTGTATTTGCTCTTTTATTTGGTATTTTTCTTGGATTTGTATTTGGTATTTTTATTGGATTTGTGCTTAGTAGGGTGTAAGAATGTTGAAGTGTATGTTCTCTCGTTGAAACCATGACTGAAGTCACAAGTGTAAGCTGTAAGAAGATTTATTTTGTATGTCGTAGTTAGATGAAGTGTAGTAAGTGAAGTATCTCTTCTTAACTCTAAGGTAAGCATGCAAGTAACAAAAAGATAGAGGTTGTATTTGATGAACTGTTTCTGGAAAATATTGTGTGGTTGTTTTGAATGAAATCTTGGAGTTTCGAATGAAATCAGTTCCTAAGGTACTGAACCATTCTCCTGGATTGAGACTGAGTTTTTCTGGAGGGCTTCTTGGTCCATAGAAACCTTCAAGTCCAATTGTAACTAGATGATTCCTGTCTATTGATTTTACATATTTAGACATGTCTTCAATCCATTCCTGAAAGTACAAAAATCATACCGTATTCTATTTCATGGTTGTAAGTGTGCAGCAAATTAACTCCTCCAAAGTTGTCTTTTCCTCTCAAAAAGAACTCTGCTTACATATATGTAGTTGTAGTGTAAAGAGAATTTAAAGAGAGCTCAGGCTGAATATTATTGTCAGCTTTGTGGGAAAGTTCTTCATCCAGACTACTTAATAATAGAACAGAAATGTTATGTACTTCAGTGAGTTTGATCAGAAGTAAATTATCACATATTCCTGTTAAACATTGTATGATAAACATTGTATGATAAACAAATATATAAACTATACTAAAGAAACCATAAATCCTAGCATTGTCACAAGAATCACGGCAAATTTGAGATATATGTTCCATTACAGTTTTTCTACTAAATTGCAATACCAACAACAATAGTACATTTCACTAAACAAATTTCCAAGTAGCTTCCATTACAGAATAAACTCAAAACCATTTACGTTTCTGTTGAGGCACACCTAACAACTCAAAACAATAGTACATTCCCAGAATATATTGCCTTGCCAGTCTACATTTCCAGTTAGCTTCCCATTTCTACAGAGAAACCTGTCTGAACATTAAGAGAGAAAATATAAAAACTAGGTACCATATATTTTGTCATAATCTTTTATTTCTGCACAGACACCATCTATATTATCAGTAGTCTAGGTTAACTATGCAAACTTCAGGAAATGAAGCTTTTATTTCTCACCAATAGTGATATGATTTGCTCCGCCAACCTTGATCAAACTTCACGCAATAGTGAGAACTTCATCTGTATTAAAAAAAATTAAAAAATCACATTATATTAAAAAATTAAAAAATCACATTATATTACAAAATTAAAAAATCACATTATATTAAAAAATGGCAATGTACAAGTTATTCCGTATGTATTAACCATTATCTTCCTCAAAGGAATCTTCTAAATCATCAGTGGCTTCATCAATATTATCTTGTTCCATTGAATCACTAAACAAAGTAATGATAGCAAAACATATTAAAAGATCATTGCACCAACTTAAAAAAGTAAAAAAAAATAAAAGCATTAGTATTAATCTCATAAATGATACACTACCTTGACAACTTTAGAGAGCAATTTCTGCTATCATGATTTTGTCCTCGCTTTCCACACAATTTGCATTTCCTAGGCTTGCATTTGCGAATCTCTCTCGAAGGCTTTAACCTCTTCCCTTTAGGCCTTCCTTTTGTTCTTGCTTGACTTGGTTCATGAACTATATCTTGAGAACACTCTGCATTCATATAATGTCCTTCCACATCTTGTCCAATTTCTTCATCATTGATGAGTTTCAAACGTTGCACCTTATTAATAGCATCCATCATCATTTCACACATTAATTCATATGCATCATTAGAAGATAGCCCCTCCTCGACCATTTCATTAGCTAAGCAATTTATTTCACTAAAACGAGAAGCAAAATTAATTGTGGCATTATCTCCAATAATATTACCATCTCTAAGAACAACCCTTTTTTTGACATTTCGGCACCATCTTCTTAGAATATATTGCTTCGGTAACTCAATATGATTGGTAATTTTAAGATATGTCAAGATATATCGGCATGGAATGCCCTTGAATTCAAACATGAGACACGAACAACGGACCATTTTAGTTGTTTTGCAATATATAATATGTCTCAATCTTTCATCATGACCACAAAAATTCAAAATGAAAGTACTTTCTCTTTCATTTTCTTTTACCAGCTCAATGTTATACATTAAGCTAGGTTGAAGCTCGTCTTGAAAAATATAAAAGTTTTTTTCGTGTAGATTTGAGCCATTTGTGTTTCCATTGACCACAAAGTCTTCAATTTTGGCTTTTTCTCCATTGTGCAATGATCCTCTTTAAGCTCCCCCTCTCTTTGTCTCGCCAAGACCCTTTGAAAAATGATCACAAAATCATGAAGTGAATTTTTCCTTGATACATGCATTTTTAGCAATGCATTCATCCCTTCACTTCTTTGACTGCTAGACATACCGGCCTAAAAGTGTTGTTTATGATAAACCGGAGCCCATTTTTCACGAATTTCATAGATATCCTTTAGCCAATCATGCGTTTCCAATCTATTTTTCTTAAGAATTGAAACCCAATTCTCTTCAAAAGAGCTAGCAGTCTCGGAGTCCCAAATATTTTCTTTGAAAGGATTCATAAATTTTGTTCTATAAGCCCATTTACCCAACTTCTCCGGAATTTTATCCAAGATATGCCAAATGCAAAACCTGTGCCGAATTTCTAGAAATACTGTTTCAATTGCCTTGCATATGCCAAGACATTCATCAGTAATCATGCCCGAATGAGAATTACCCATTGCTTCAATCCATTTGTTAAACAACCATACGAAAGACTTCGCCTCTTCGTTTGGGATCAAGCCACATCCTAAGAAAAC